CTTTCTCCCCCCCTCTACCACTGCAGCATCTTAGCGAGCGCTAAAGACGCCGCATCCAATTGCTACTGTACCCCGGCAGTGGAGGCTCTTTGAAATATCCCACAGTGTAAGCTAGTCAGCTGATGGGGTGGCTGAGTAAAGCCAGCTAAGAAAAGCCGCAGCTCAACCAGTGAAGCCACTGGCCCACTTTCAGGCTGCACAAGTCTTCGCTATAGAAACAGTGCGAGGCACAAATATCTCCGAGCGCCGCTGTAAAGTGGCGTCTCGCTGGGTAATCATCATTTTTGTCCATGTGGAATTACATCTCAGGGAAAGCTGCGGCTCGCCCCTCTAACTCATCCGCCAATCACTCCCTGATCCGCCGTCCCCACCTCTCCCTCTGCCGCTCCTGAATGTAAAAGAAGGCTAATGGCGTCGCAGGCCATTATGAGCACTTATCTTCCTGCCTCTGGCACCCACACTGTGCCACCTCTTTTCTGGCTCCTCCGGATCCCCAAACAAGGCCCGAGCCCCCCTGGGGACGTAACCCGGTATGGCGGGCCTCCTCCTTGTGTTGCAAGGAGGCTTTTTAACACAGCCGAGTGACCCACTTGTATTGTGCTGTGTCGTGGTTGATGGTGTGGGCTCGCGGGATGTTTGTGAATATGCAACAAAAGCCTGCCACAGTGCTGCGTGTGCTCGCAGGGCTTTTCTTTGAAGATATTTTCTACGTCCTGATTTCTGAATTGGGTCTTGAAAGGGCCCATGGATATGTTTGGGCGGCAACGTGTCTTCGCCATAGAAATGCTCGAGACAATTACAATTGATTTTGTGTTTCAGCCAGATTGTAATGCACTCGGTTTCATGCTGATGACTTACAGTCTTAGATTTAAAGGAAAGCTGGAATCAAATGAGCCAGGAAGGGTTTGAAAGGTTTTATCTTGCTGTAATGAATGATAAGGTGATGCATGTTGAGTGGACATTAGAATTAATTAGCAACAGCTGTTCCTAAAACAAGAGGTTAAAGGGTAAGTTTGGTATTTTCCAACCTTATTTGCCCATGTTTTTGTGTTTAAGTGGGAACCAGGGGCGTAAACATAGACAGTGCAGGCAGGGTGGTGAGGGGGCCCACCCTTCAACTAGCAATCCATAACGAAATATGATAAAAAAAATATCCTTACTCTACATAAACTATAAAAGAAACTATGTAATAAATGAAGAAACCCTTATTTCCGTTGGTATTTTTGTCGTATATATGCGCTAATGACTTCTGGGTAATATGTATGTTGGCGTTAACCAAGTCTCTATTCAATCATGTGACAATTATACGTTAGCTAGTTTAAGCGCATAACTAGCGTGCCTTTGGGTCTTTGCACACTGAGTCCGTTTTTGTCGTCCGAAATTGTCGCACATCTAACAATAATTACGACTTAACGTTGTGTCAATCGTGTTTGAACACTGCGTCCGAAACTTTTGTCTGCCGTTAAAATTTTCGGAACAGGTTTGATTTTCTGCGCCCCTCAGAGACGTTTCACCAAGAATCAGTGAAGAAAATGTGGCGGCGGAGAAAGGCGAAGGAGGAAGTGTGTCTCTTCATCTCGTCATGTATTGTGAATTTATCGCACCAAATAGAACGATAAAACGCATCGAAATCAGTGTACGAAACTTTTTTTTTTTTTTTTTTTTTTCTCGAATGATGGATTAACAAAATGCATCCAAAAGAAATGGACTCAGTGTGCAAAAGCCTTCAGGGCCCATCGTAATATCGAGCACTGGAGCCCCTTGTGACAACAGTGTTTTCAACTGGTTCAATATTGAGCAAAAGCGCCGCAATGTAACCACTCTGGGCTTGTTTCGCACCGTCAGTTTATGTCTATTAAAGTGTTTGCTTTTGCCGCTGACAGGCTCAGACTGTTTTTTTAAGTGTTTGACAACTTATGGGAAGGATCCCTACAGAGATAGAACTTTTCGTTAAAGAGCTAGATCCTTTTCTTTAACCAGAAACAGCCCTAGAATCGCTTGCACCAATTGCACCAGACTCCATTTAAATGAACGGTGATTTTATCATCATACAACACACTTAATTCAGAGTCGACAGAAACAAAAGAACACTCCAAAAAACTGTCTTGGTTCATCTTTCCACTGTTACAACAATCACCAACTCCGGGTTGCTTGAAATAAACTTTTAATTCACCCAGTTAGATGTGAAAACATGCTGGCTTTATACACACTAAAATTGCCAGAAATTTGAATGGAGTTTGGTGGAATTGGCGACGCTGACTCCGGGGCTGTTTCTGGTTAAACAAAAAGGATCTTACTCTTTAACAGAAGGTATTGCTCTCTCGGGATCCTTTTTATAATGTTGTCAGACACTTATTATATCAATCTGAGCCTGTCAGTGGCAAAAAAAGCACTTTCAGTGGACATAAATTGACAGGCAAACAAGCCTCAAGTGGTTACGTCGCAGCACCAATTTCAAAAGCTGTTGTTCCCTTTAGTCACTTAAACTCAAAAAAACATGGGAAAATAGGGTCCAGGTACCAACTTACCCTTTAAAGAATTAGTCCGGGCTGACTCTAGTGTACTTATTTGTGCAGAACTAAAGGACAGATGGATTTAAGTGGTTTTAAAGTACTCATATTGATGGCCCAACCTCGGGGGGAGGTGACATTTTTGTCGACAGAAAGAGACACAAAACACAGCACTTTTTGCTTTGATATAGCAGCCCAGTTCATTAGCTCAGTGGGAAATGTCTTCATTTTTACCAAGCCTGCAGAGTCAATGGACCATGGCTGGGAAATAATCAGCCTCCTTTCGGCGCACACAACACACAGAGTGCCGGCTAACTACCTCGGCAGCTCGCCGCACACGGCAAGCGGGGAACGTGGTGCCGAAGGTTGGCTGCTTACCCCCGTGAGAGCTGGTGATTTTTTGTTTTTTGTCTTCCTTTTACCAGTTTGTCTGAATGGGACTGGGGCGAGGAGGCAAACGGATGAGCATTCAGGAGCAGGGGTGCAAGGGGGGGGCCTCATGAGAGCTGTGTAGCATTGTGGGTAGCCTGATGGCTCTATCGTAGGTGTAAATGAGGACGACAATCAGCACCTGGTATCCGCTTGTCTCTTTGATGTGTTTGTCAAGCTGAGACGGAGGATAGGGAGAGACGAGGGAGACAAAGACATCTCGTCTTCCCGTGCCGTGATCCATAGCCACGTTCTATCATCTCCACCACATCGGCTGGCATGTTAAATATTTGTGATTGCCATCGCATCTCTCCATTTTGTCGTCTCTCTCCTCATTTATTTAGCTATTTACATTTCATTAAACAGAACTACTCAGTTGTTTGGGCTCGCTAATGACAAAAACTTATTTGATTTTTCCATCAAGTGGCAGCTGCTCCCCGAGGCTTTAGCTATATATCGACTGGCGATCATTAGCTGATGCTTTACGAAGGTAATTTGTGACATGAAAATGGATTCTAATAGGTATTTAGTCGAAAAAGGATTTCTGGCAGCACAGGAATGGCACTCTTGAAGTAATATCGAATGTTTGGCTGAAAGGCATCCATAGCGAGAGTGAGTAATTTGTTGATTAAACGCTCGAATCAGTAGGCACTACATTTCTGTTACTCCTATCTCCTCTTCCTTTCGCTGTCCTTGTCTCGGCCGCATTGTGTCCTCAGCCATGTGTCTGCTCTGCATAACACTGTTTTGGTGTCTTTTAGTTCTCAATGCTGCTCCAGGTTCATCATACAGTCTATTTAAATATATATATATATATATACATATTTTATTGCATAAGTGCCAAACATAAAGAGTGATTTCTGTTCTATTTTTTTCTTTTACAGGAGAAAAAGAGCATTAAAAGTAAGCCATGGTCCAAACTCTTGATTTTCTTTCTTATATGGGCAAAAAAAAAAAAAAAAAAAAAGGCATGCTTGGCTTGGTTTGCACTCACCCTCGCTTCTGCTTGATTTTGGTTTCCCATACTTCGCAATTACATCTAACATAGCATCTCTACGACATCGGCACTCTTATTAACTCTGCAAGGTCTCAGCATTCGGTCAGGGCTGTTCCTTCTCCTTTGGCTCGCTGTATTTGGGAACTCTATCCAGGAATAAATGACTCCTCACTAGTCACTGACAGTAGCGTATCTGTCAAACCTGTTGTCCTGCTGTAGCATTGTAAGCACATAATTTGCTTTCCACAATAATACAGTAGACGTAGTTAATCTGAGGCCAGCTCCCAGCTAGGTAATTGGTTAAGACCCCTATTAGTGGATTTAAGAGGATATCAGGGCGCTTTAGCCATGCAAAGCTATTAAGCTACTTAGATCAGGATGTGATTGCCGTCTGTCAATCACCAGATAAGGAAATAGGGTGTTGTTGGTGCTCACAAACATGCTCACCCCACACATACACCGAGAAGGCCCAGTTGTGTTTTAGAATTTCAGATCAGACTGAGAAACACAAACTGACCTCCTTCCCTACTCTCTCCATCGCTGCCCCCCTCCCCCTCCCCTCTCAGCACAAACACGTTTTGAAGCATGACATTATTTCAACTCTGATTCACGCCACTGTTTTTTAGTTTGGGGCTGTTGTCGTAGCCAGTGGAGTCTTCTTTTTCATCGTTGTTTTTTTTTTTCCCGTTCCCCGTTTCTGTCATGTGGTTTCTGCATGAAAAAAACAACAACAAAAAAAAAAAATGCAATTTTATCCGCACAAGCTTAACTCTACTCACGAGTGATAAAATTCTGAACCTGCATTGGCTGTGACAAATAGGTGAACCATCGTATTGTTTCTTTTACCTTCTCCATTAAACATTTAGATGCGGTGATGACCTCATTAGGGAGAAAATAAAACAAACTCACGCATCTAATGAAGGAATTCATAACAGCAAAGCCATGTGACACATACCACACCAAACACTAAGTGCTAGGAATGTATTTAGTGTATCATTAAATTTCCCACTTTAGTGAAACAAACAGCATCATTTACTTTTCTCTTCTCCCTCTGCTTCCTCTAGACTCCCGGCCCTTGCCTGACGTAGCCATGACTGGCAAGTGCACCCGGGAATGCGACGAGTATGGCCACTCGGACTCCTGCTGGATGCCTGTGCGCACGTCGCCTGAGCGGCGGCCATCCAAGTCAACCACCACCCCCCAACAACCAAAGCTTTCCACTTTCATGAGCGGCAACGGCAGCGGCAGCAGCAGCGCCGAGCAGCCCGGCAGCCAAGAGACCCTCGCCATGGCCGCCATGGCCAACGGAGACCCCACCGCCGCTCACATGATGGGCGACCGCAACCGCAACCTGCTCAACAAGAAGATGGCTTCCTCCTCCTCCTCCTACGAGGCCTTCGGCTCGCCTTCCTACGGCTCGCCGGGAAGCGGGGAGGAGGCGCTGGGCCACCCCACCGAGGAGATCCCTCTGGCGCCCACTGGGGAGTACAAGCCCACGTCCTGTGGTACTCTGACACGGCGGGAGGTGTACCTGTGAGCTGGGAGTGTTTGACGCGCCCGCTGTGCCACCACACATGGCATTAAAGTACAACACTAAGCGTAGCTGCTTACCCACCACCGTTACAGCTCTAGAAGCTTTTACCCTTGTTCGGCAAGGTAGGACTAAACTTTCTCCAAAGACTTTTACGACAGCTCCTTAACGAGACGTGGATATATAAACACAGTTTTTAAAGTGCTAACTCCGGCCATGAGCTGGGAGAAAGGAGGAGGAGGAGGAGGAACTGTTGAGGGGCTTTGTTGGGACTCGGGATGAGGCTGTTTTACTGGCGAGTCGGGCTCTTGGGACATGATCTGCTGCTTGACAGTCAATCTGTACAATAATCATTTTACATATACAGTACGTGCATGCATTACCCTCCCCCGCCCCATGAAGGTCCTTGAAGATGTACAAAAGAGACAATTTCTTTTTTTTTTCTGTTTGTGTTTTTTCTAGAAACAAAGCTGTACATGTGGACTATTTTGACTTTTGAGTGTGTCTGGTTTGCCTTTTTTTTTTTTTTTTTTTTTTTAAATATCAGAACACTGCTCCGGCCACGACGTTCAGTGGCTGCAACGATATATCGGACACAACGGTCTCTTGAGCTGTCTTATGGAATCCGTCAACTTGACTGTTTGTGACCAAAACTTAACCGTGTTTGAATCTTAAAAAGGACTGGAAGCTTTAAATACCCAGACAACACTTGTGTTGGTCCTCTCCTGTCACGGAGACTCTCGGGACGGATGTCGGAGCCAATGGAATTTGCTGCAACTGTTTCGGACTACTACTTCGCCGCTGGGTTTTGACGAACTCACCGTGACTGATTCTAACCTACCAGTGTGAAAAGTCACTCACTGTACATAAACATTGGACCACAGCAACAACGCTAACCGCTCTCATTCCCCCTCCTTTTGTCTTGCTACCTTCCCCTCAGTCTCTCGTTTGTTGTCTTTGATTGGCGAGACCAAAACCCCTCTGACGAGATGCAAATTTCTTAGAGCCATGATCCATCGCCGCATCGGCTGGAGACGCATGCGTGTACACCGTATTCGGATCACCTCGGTGGGATGCTACTGTTTATATCAAGTACCCTGTTTTTTCCGCAACCCACATATGCAGACACACATACACAGAAGCAGATTTAACTGAGGCCAGTGGCACCGCCGGACTGATACCTGGGTAAGCACAGTGCGTGGCATGCCGAGATCAACCCTACGGAGGTGCAACTGAAGTTGTATGTGTGTATGGGCCCGATATGCAGTATATAGTGTGTGTGTGTAGGCTATATTTAGTGTATACTGTAGATGTACACCGATAATAGGCGTAGGAGGGCGTAGACATGGCCGAGCTGATCCTGAAACAGCTGCAAGGACAGCTTTTTACTGTTATTTCTTTCTTGTTGTGTGATAGACTGAGCAATAAATATCATAATGTACACGTGACCAACTTCTTTTTCACTTTCTCCTCAAGCCTTCAAGGTGACATCCCCCCCCCCCCCCCCCCCCCCCCCCCCCCACACACACACACACACACACACACACACACACGTGGCCGTCCTCGTAGGAGTCCTTTTATAGCACTAGTAGATGTTGCTTTCCATAACGGTGATGGCATCTTTGAGCACGAATGTAAGAATCAGCTCAATGGAGAACAATCAAAAATGTCTGTAACACGCAGATACCGGGAGGGGTTTCTTTTTTTGTTGTTGTTTTGCTGTTGCTTCGCAAACAGGATGAAGCACCCCCCCGACATTAAGACACAAAAATAGCTTTTCATTTTGGGAGAACTTTGCTTTAAGTACGCATCACATGAAGGATTTTTATCACGAAGGATTGAGATACGACAACCCCCCCCCCCCCCCCACACACACACACACAGACACATGACAATGTTGAGATGTTGTGCCTCCCCTCCCCTGCCGCCCCCCCCAAGTCCACAGTGGTGTTTCTTTTACTCGCAGCTACAGAGGCGCAAAATCTCACGAGTGTAATAAAAGCAAAAGAATATCAGATGCAATGGAACTTTTTTTGTATGTTAGCAAAACCCCTTTGGTTTGACCGGAGCTGCTTTTTTCTCGCAACCCGGCGATCTATAGTCTGTAAGTACTACTCGTTGTTCGAAGGAAAGTGCTCTCCTATACTTATCAACTGTATACATAAATATTTACTTTCTACTGCACGTTTAATGGGAACTTAACTTCACTTACTGAGAAGGAAGAAGAAAAAAAACTGTAAAACAAAATGTACAAAAAAAATGTTTTCCCTGTAAACATGGAAAAACCCACCTTGTTGCTTGCTTTTGTTATACCTAAAGAAACATGTAGTACAACTTAGTACATCAGTTAAGACCATTTATTTTTATTTTTTCATACTTAAATTTCATCATATATCACCACTCAAACTTTCATATGTTTCTATCTTTTTTTTTTCTTTTAAACGTCATCTTTGTTTTTGCTTTGTAATCCCATACGTTTATTTGTCACTTTTAACAGTCTCAAACCGTGGAAATGATCATGACAATGTACTATGTGTTTAACTTTTTTTCTTTATCTGGTGCCACTTTGTATATTTAGAGTGCTTCTGAAAAAAGAAAACAAACAAACAAAAAAAAACTAAAAAAAAATACTAGAGTGAATGCAAATATGCAATTGTGCCTTTTTATACCAATTGGTATGATTAAATGTTGGTTTGGAATGGTGCATAAATAAATTACGTCGAGATGCTCACTAAACGTAGATGGGGTGGCATTTAAGAACGGACTGAAAAATACATTTGCATATCTTAGATGAAATCCCATGATGTCAAAAAGGCTTCTCGGAGGACAACCGGTCAGACGTCGGTGAGCCTGTGCGTCTACAAACACTCGCTGATGTTGTTGAAAATTATCCATTCCTAGCATAGTGCATTACCCGAATGAGTACAGGTACATTCAAAAGTTGCTTGTTGGTAGTAATAATAATGATATAATGGATTTTTTTGTCGTGTTCCACTCATGTACATGTATGACATCAGAGGTCAAGTAACCTTCTTTGTGCATGAAACAAGCTCTAGGACTGAATATAGAAGCGTAGAGAGATAGAGAGGCGGGTAGGGCGGGTAGGGGGGGGAGAAGGAAAAAAAAAATTGCTTGGAGACATTTGACTGCTCGGAGTTGAGGGAGCCTAGAGATAAAAATGCTAATGTGACGGTTTACTAGGAGGAGTGGAAGTAGGGTGAAAAAAAGCTGCAGGGGGAGAGTAGCTGACAGAACACACACCTCGGGATGTGCCGAGCAACACAACACTCATGCGCGGATTTACAGTATATGCATATCAGTAGGTGATGAAACCCTGTCCTACAAATAAGCGCGGTATGATGTTTGCGGTGATACTGCGAGGTGATGCTTTGAATTCCTAGATCAGATGGGAACAAAGACGCTGCGGCGTGAACCCCAGACAGAAAGAGGGAAGACATGAAAGGAAAAAAAAAAACGCCATACATTGGCAACTATTGAAAACAGCGAACACTTTGAGCACTGTTTTTTCCTGGTACTCACTGCTGCTGCTACAGAAACCTGGATTCTTCTTTTGTTTTTTATACAGAATTCATGATGCCATCAAAAACTGTCTGTATCTTGCTGCCCGAGGTGTGTGTTCTCTGTGCTCTCCTCTACTCGTATAGCCTTCACAGTGTGTAATGAGATTTGTAATATTAACCATTACTATTTGTCCTGCGACTTGGATGTTGATATAGAAATTTGAGGAACAAATTTATCATCGTTTAATATGAGTCACTATGCACGCAGCTTAGCTGAACATGGCAAAGTGTATTGAACGCAAGTCCACTTCTATTTATGAGATATTTTACATAATTTAATTTGCTTTTGTACAGGTTTGTGTAAATAAATTGCTTGTCATTTTTGTCTCTGCAGAAATTAAAATATAACATGGTAAAACAAGTCGAGCTGGTTTCGTTGTTTTTATGTGTATGTTTGTGTATTTGATAAATGTAATTCATTCGCAAGGGTTTAATTGCTGAAGTGATAACACAATAATGCTCACAACTGATTATTTGCTTCTTTAGAAGTCACTGGTAATTAATAGAGCTGCAACAATTAGTCAATTGACAGAAAATTAACTGGTTATTTTGATCATCAATTAATTGTTTTAGTCACTTTTTAAGCAACAAAGCCAAACAAGTTCTGGTTTCATGCTTCTTTAATGTGAGAATTTTATGCTTTTCTTTGTCATGCATGATAAAAAACTGAAGAGCTTTTCATTGTTGGACTGTTAGTCTGATAAAACTAACCATTTGAAGACGTCACCTTTGGCTCTGGGGAATTAATCGAGGCAGGTATCACTGTTTACCGACATTTTATTGACACTGTTAATCTGAGTATCCAACACATCCTCCTACAAAGGATTATATGCTATCATACGAATTACCACCCCACAAACGTAAAGTTATGAAGGTTAAGTTTTGGCAAGTACAGCCAATGTGGTTAGGTTTAGGAAAGGAAACATTGTGATGACTCACAGGTCAAGTGTTTTCACGTGGTTCCGAACACTGGTCTGGTCTCCTGGGAAAAGTCCTGTGCTTTGTGACCTCTCCACCACCCCAACCTGCCTCCTAAGGCGACTGCTTCCTTCTTTATTCTCCACTCTCATGAGCACATTGGTCAAGTGATCAGAGCCTTTCCAAATACGTGGGTTATACACGCCTTACTAGCTCATGATTACATAGCATATGTACAAATTTTGGTGCATTAATTTTCGAAGGAAAGCGTACTAACAGTGCATGGGAGCAAGCCATGTAAGAATGTAGTTTAATTTCAAAATGAAATATTCAAAATTATCCCTACGAATCATAATGCAGTATAAAAATCTACATTCTCCATATAACTACTATTTAAAGCTGTATTGACCAATGTTTTGGTCTCTTTGGGGCGATTATTTCTTTATAAGGTAGCTATGGCTAACATTTTAGCAACAGTTGCCGATATACAAATAACACACATGGCGCAATGTTGACATTTCTTTTGAGTTGGCTTTTTTCCTTCCCCTCTAAAGAACAGAATTCCAACATCAACTCCCCTGTTTTTGCTTTGTTTTGGTCTCCACCAACTTATTTGAATGTTTTACAAACTAGCAGCTAACACTGATTGCCTTTTTTTGGCTAGGCAGGTAGCATACAGTAGTTTTTTTTGGCTAGCTGTCCGCTATGGCTGAAGATACAGATAGATCATTTTGGTTGAACAGATACAGATAATGGTGTACTCGCTCATTACTAGTAAACGTTGTGTTAATCTCAGTATGCTAACCAAAGCATGCTATAATGTGATTTGTCTTACATTATCCCGACTAATCATATTCTCATCCATATAACTGTTATTCAAAGTTGTGTTAATTGATTTTTTTGGGGCATTTTGGGGCAAATTATTGCTCTATAAGGTAGTTATGCTGAACGTTTTTTGCAAACAAATGTGGCGCAACATTAGCATTCATTCTGAGTCACCTTTTTTCTGCCCCTCTAATGAATATAAGTCCGATATTAACCTCCCCTTTTTAGCTCTGCTTTAGTCTCCACCAACTCCTGTGAAAACTATTAGACAGTTTAACTTCTATATGTGCCACTAGGTTTACAAACTAGCCACTAACTATTGCCATTTTTTTGCCAGGCACATAGCATACAATGGGTTTATCACAGATTTTTGCGAGTTGTCCGCTATGGCTGGAAACAAGTTGATTTTTTTTAATTGATTCTGGACAATCAAAACAATGGGCTGAAGAGATTTAAAAACTCAGTAAAGCTAACAAATTGGGTGATAATTTTCTGTGGCTTGTTACTTCAAGTAACACCATCACATGACACATGGTCATTGGATCCAGTGATAACGTAAAAAAAAATCTCATTAGTGCAGCTTTAAGTTTCAAGTCGATGAAATAAGGTTTGATTGCAAAATATTTGAGCTCTGAACGCATTGTACTAATTAAATTAAAATTTATTTTAATGGGATAAACCGGTGATTAAACCTTTCAGAGTGGAAGAATACACACTGAACAAAAATATCAATGCAGCAATTTTGTTTTGGCGCCCATTTTACATGAATTGAAGTCAGAGCAAATATTTTTTCTCTGCACACAGACTCAGTTTTCTCAAATTTTGCTCACAAATTGTGTAAATCTGTGTCAGTGAGCACTCTGCCAACATCATCCATCCAAGTGACAGGTGTGACATATCAAGATGCTGATTAAACAGCATGAATACGACACAGGTGTGCCACCGGCTTGTCACAATAGAAGGCCACTCTAAAATATTCAGGGTTTCTTTTGGACACAACACAAAGCAACAGATGTAGCTAGTTTGGGGAGAGCGTGTCATTGGCATGCTGACTGCAGGAATGTCCACCTGAGCTGTTGTCCATGACCTGAATATTTATTTGACAGTAAGACATCTCCAGTGTGGTTTCTGAGAATTTGGCAGTACATCCGATCCACATGGGGCTTCTTCACCTGCAGGATCATCTGAGACCAGCTACTTTATTATGTTATGTGTTACATGTGAGTTGTTTTGTGTCACAAATGTGAAGTTGTTGTGGACCTCAGGAAGAACAGCTGAAATGCAGAAACTAATGGGGATCCTAATAAACTAAACTAAACTAAACCGAGACGAGTGTCCTCAAAACGGATTCTGACAATTTGTGCTGAAATTTGTTGGTGGTGCAAATAAACTGTTGCATCAGCTGTTCAGGTTGCTGGTCACAGACAATCTTACAGGCGAAGAAGCTGGATGTGGAGGTCCTGAGCTGGTGTGGTTGCACATGGTCTGCGGTTGTGAGGACGGTTGGATGTACTGCCAAATCCTGGGCCTCTTGTAATGCCACGCATGTGAGGTAGATAAATTATGAATTATTTTGGTGATGTTCTTACAAACATTGATTTAAATAAATTTGGAACAAGATCTATGAGAATGATGTCTTTTGTGTGCACAGAAAAAGTACTTTTATTTACACCCATGAAAAATGAGAGTATGGAATCATGTCTCCAACTGTAAGAGCCACTAAAGCACATATTTATATTTGGTAAAAATGTCTGTGTTAATATGACATATTATATACGTTCTGACATTATTTAAGTTTGCACAACCATTTCTGTATATTTTGAATAGTGTATAGTAGTGGACTATACTAAGGTTATTTACATTGTTTACGACAGGTATGGTGCATTTAGGCAGTTTAATGCATGTGACAATAAGGAGATTCTTGTCAACGTCGTGCTTTAAGATGACATGAAGTCTGTGTTGGTTTGGATCGTAATAAGTTTTTGACTGTGTCATGCAATGTTAAAGTGTATAATAACAGTGAGGATATATAAAAACAGGACTTCAAAATGGCAGTGGACGTACAAGATGTAATTTTGGAAAGACTTTGCCATTTTGTTTTCTTTTCTTTAAATTCTCAATAAATCTCGTTCAACCTTTTCTCAGCTCGTGTGAGTACTGTGGATCTTCACATAAGGAATGGGAACATGAGTCAAAACTGAGACACACTAAGGGTACTTTCAGGCCTGCCCTGTTTGGTTCATTTGCCCCCTTAGGCTGTGTTCAGACCTAGAGTTGTCTTGGTTTGGTCTGAATCAGGGTGTAATTTTGTCACAAAGTTGTATAATTGCCTAGAGTTGGTTCATGTTCTCACGGCAGCATTTACAAGCGGACCAGATCAAATGTCTTAAGCAAGAAAGCTTCTCTTGATTGGTCAGAATTTAAAATCCAGGAAGTAAAGCAAACGCTGAAGAAGAGTACACTTGCAAGATAAATGTGACACTTTCTAATGTCACAATGGAGGGACAACTACGCAGGTTGATTTTAGCGCTGCTCATAGTGGACTATATTGCTGTCATTGTTCATTTTAGTCAAACCATACAGTTTGAAAACGAGGCGCGGCTCCAACTAGAAAAGGGGCAAACAAACTTGAATTTGATTGAACCGAACCAAACTAAGTGCGGTACGCTAAATGTGCGCTAAAATCAACCTGTGTAGTTGTCCCTCCATTGTGACTAGGGTTGGGTACCAAACTGATATGGTACTGGTACCGGTATCTGGAATTCGGTACCGGTACCAAACAGGACCTTATTTCGGTACTTTTTAAAGTCTAAACTTCTCAGTTTCAACATTTTATTGAGAACATTTAGGAACAGTGCTGCACGTTAACTTTTGTCTGCACATTTTTTTTGTCGCCAATGTTGCTGAGTCTGAGGTGCGAGTCATGTGCTCTCGCTCCGCCTCCACCTCAGGTACTGAAATTTGGCACCGATTCATTTTAAGTGAATCGGTACTCGGTAGTACAGACGTGAATCGGCACCAAGTACAAAAAGTACAGAGTTTCGGTACCCAACCCTAATTGTGACATTAGAAAGTGTCACATTTATCTTGTAAGTGTACTCTTCTTCAACGTTTGCTTTACTTCCTGGAAATTCTGACCAATCAAGAGCAACTTTCTCACACAAGGCATTTGATCTGGTCCACTTGTAAATGCTGCCGTGAGAACATGAACCAACTCTAGGTAATTAATCCCTCATTTGGACCAAAGCAAGACGACTCTAGGTCTGATAGCACCTTAAAAGTGGCCTTGGAACTTTGGCATGTTGAAACAGCCACTACACTTCCACCTTTCCTTCTTCCAGGTCAGCTGTATGAGGACTTCTTGACATGTGTGCATACATTCATGTGTGTTTGAGCATATGTTTCCTCTCTTGCCGGCATGTCTGGGTGATGTATGAGGCGATTACCGTCTAAGGTGATTAGAGATCCATTCCCTACGCTCTGATTAACAGCACGCCACATCCTCTCCGCCACCCTCAAACCGCTAATGGCGTCTTAATAGAAAACTACAATGCACTGTAAAACTACACAAAGTTCAATAATGTGGGGAAAGTTTCCCTCTCGGCTGTCACGGGGATATTAGA